GAACTTGGGTACCCAGATTGTTCTGGGTACCAATTATTTCTTCACGTGCAGAGGGAATGTGACGAATAAAAATAATCTCTAATAAAGTTGAAATAAAGGTATATCTGTTTTCATTATTATCCATTTATAGTTAAGCTTATTTAGAATTTTATTACATGTTCTTCTACTCAATTTACTCTAACATATCTTGAGAAAAGAACATGATTTGTTGCATACTTTGGATGGCTGTATCACGTTAAATATTGCTCTAATTGCTTTGATATTCAATATTAGCAAAGAAAACCTTTACTAAAAGAAATGTAAATGAATGTGGTAAATCCAATGGTAATGTTTTCAAAGTGATTCTATGGCTGGTTTTGATTTTGAGTTTTGCGAAAAATGACGATTTCGGCGAGGTGACGGTTCTCTGCTGACGACTGGTGGTGTGGCCAGGAATTGTGGCCTGAAGGCACGAACTTTCCTGCCAATATTTCTTCAGTATTTTTACTAAATGGTTTATTAGTTCATTAACTTATTGGATATATTGATTGATTTATTAACTTTTTATTTCAAGGTGCAAAACTATACCTTAGAATTGATCCAGGGGTTTCCTTGGGTCCCTAGATTGATCCAGGTGGTCATTGGGTCCCTAGATTGATCAAAGCGATCATTGGGTCCTTAGATTGATCAAGGCGGTCATTGGGTCCCTAGATTGATCAAGGGGGTCCTTGGGTTACCACATTGTTCAAGGGGGTCTTGGCATCCCTAGTTTTATCCAGGGGGGGAAGGGTAATTGGGTCCCTAGATTGTTCCAGGAGTCCTTGGATCGCTAGATTGTTCCAGGGGGGTCCGTGGGTCGCTAGATTGTTCCAAGGGGTCTTTGGGTTACCACATTGTTCCAGAGGTCCTTGGGTCCGCAGATTGTTCCAGAAGGATCCTTGGGTCCTCAGATGATTACAAAAAGCGTTTTTGGGTACGCAGATTGTTCCAGAGGGTTCTTTGGTTCCATATATTGTTAAAAGAGGGTCTTTGGGCCCTCTAATTGTTCTAGGAGGGTCTTTGGGTCCCCAGATTGCTTCAGGGAAAACTTTGGGTCACCAGATTCTTTCAGCGGGTTCTTGGGTCCCCAGAATGTTCCATGGGGGCTCCTTGGGTCACCAAATTGTTCCAGGCAGAACTTGGGTACCCAGATTGTTCTGGGTACCAATTATTTCTTCACGTGCAGAGGGAATGTGACGAATAAAAATAATCTCTAATAAAGTTGAAATAAAGGTATATCTGTTTTCATTATTATCCATTTATAGTTAAGCTTATTTAGAATTTTATTACATGTTCTTCTACTCAATTTACTCTAACATATCTTGAGAAAAGAACATCATTTGTTGCATACTTTGGATGGCTGTATCACGTTAAATATTGCTCTAATTGCTTTGATATTCAATATTAGCAAAGAAAACCTTTACTAAAAGAAATGTAAATGAATGTGGTAAATCCAATGGTAATGTTTTCAAAGTGATTCTATGGCTGGTTTTGATTTTGAGTTTTGCGAAAAATGACGATTTCGGCGAGGTGACGGTTCTCTGCTGACGACTGGTGGTGTGGCCAGGAATTGTGGCCTGAAGGCACGAACTTTCCTGCCAATATTTCTTCAGTATTTTTACTAAATGGTTTATTAGTTCATTAACTTATTGGATATATTGATTGATTTATTAACTTTTTATTTCAAGGTGCAAAACTATACCTTAGAATTGATCCAGGGGTTTCCTTGGGTCCCTAGATTGATCCAGGTGGTCATTGGGTCCCTAGTTTGATCAAGGCGGTCATTGGGTCCTTAGATTGATCAAGGCGGTCATTGGGTCCCTAGATTGGTCAAGGGGGTCCTTGAGTTACCACATTGTTCAAGGGGGTCTTTGCATCCCTAGTTTTATCCAGGGGGGGAAGGGTAATTGGGTCCCTAGGTTGTTCCAGGAGTCCTTGGATCGCTAGATTGTTCCAGAGGGGGTCCGTGGGTCGCTAGATTGTTCCAAGGGGTCCTTGGGTTACCACATTGTTCCAGAGGTCCTTGGGTCCGCAGATTGTTCCAGAAGGATCCTTGGGTCCTCAGATGATTACAAAAGGCGTTTTTGGGTACGCAGATTGTTCCAGAGGGTTCTTTGGTTCCATATATTGTTAAAAGAGGGTCTTTGGGCCCTCTAATTGTTCTAGGAGGGTCTTTGGGTCCCCAGATTGCTTCAGGGAAAACTTTGGGTCACCAGATTCTTTCAGCGGGTTCTTGGGTCCCCAGAATGTTCCATGGGGGCTCCTTGGGTCACCAAATTGTTCCAGGCAGAACTTGGGTACCCAGATTATTCTGGGTACCAATTATTTCTTCACGTGCAGAAGGAATGTGACGAATAAAACTAATCTCTAATAAAGTTGAAATAAATGTATATCTGTTTTCATTATTATCCATTTATAGTTAAGCTTATTTAGATTTTTATTACATGTTCTTCTACTCAATTTACTCTAACATATCTTGAGAAAAGAACATGATTTGTTGCATACTTTGGATGGCTGTATCACGTTAAATATTGCTCTAATTGCTTTGATATTCAATATTAGCAAAGAAAACCTTTACTAAAAGAAATGTAAATGAATGTGGTAAATCCAATGGTAATGTTTTCAAAGTGATTCTATGGCTGGTTTTGATTTTGAGTTTTGCGAAAAATGACGATTTCGGCGAGGTGACGGTTCTCTGCTGACGACTGGTGGTGTGGCCAGGAATTGTGGCCTGAAGGCACGAACTTTTCTGCCAATATTTCTTCAGTATTTTTCTAAATGGTTTATTAGTTCATTAACTTATTGGATATATTGATTGATTTATTAACTTTTTATTTCAAGGTGCAAAACTATACCTTAGAATTGATCCAGGGGTTTCCTTGGGTCCCTAGATTGATCCAGGTGGTCATTGGGTCCCTAGATTGATCAAAGCGATCATTAGGTCCTTAGATTGATCAAGGCGGTCATTGGGTCCCTAGATTGATCAAGGGGGTCCTTGAGTTACCACATTGTTCAAGGGAGTCTTTGCATCCCTAGTTTTATCCAGGGGGGGAAGGGTAATTGGGTCCCTAGATTGTTCCAGGAGTCCTTGGATCGCTAGATTGTTCCAGGGGGGGTCCGTGGGTCGCTAGATTGTTCCAAGGGGTCCTTGGGTTACCACATTGTTCAAGGGGGTCTTTGCATCCCTAGTTTTATCCAGGGGGGGGAGGGTAATTTGGTCCCTAGATTGTTCCAGGAGTCCTTGGATCGCTAGATTGTTCCAGGGGGGTCCGTGGGTCGCTAGATTGTTCCAAGGGGTCTTTGGGTTACCACATTGTTCCAGAGGTCCTTGGGTCCGCAGATTGTTCCAGAAGGATCCTTGAGTCCTCAGATTACAAAAAGTGTTTTTGGGTACGCAGATTGTTCCAGAGGGTTCTTTAAGAAAACCAGTATTACTGTTACTGACCAGCAAGTTAAAAAGTATCTTATATTGAAAGTTTTTGGCAGTTCCTATAAAAATAAGTGGTAATTATTTGCATTACTGTACTGTGCTTTTTATTTTTTACTATAATATGCAGTAAGATTTTCACAATTAAATGTTGTACAAATTCTAAGATGTAAATGCAAATAATGTATCTGAACCATTTACCTTTTAGTTATGCTTTTCAAGGATATCTACTGAATAATAAGGCCTAAGGGAATTCAGTTGGATGAATTTTAAGCATATATATTTTAATTATCAGTATATGAACTTTTGTTGCATCAGCTAAAGGGCGATTTAAAAAAAAAATAACTTTGTAAATCCTAACAGACAATTTGTCTTAATTGTTTGAAAGTACAAAGTAAGTCTACTGAATAGTCTGTTTTCTCTCCTAGGAGGGAAGAGGTGGAACGTCGGTTATACATAAAATTACATTTTAGTATTTATTCATTAAATAAAAATGACTTTTCAAAGCATCTATAGAAATGGAAAAAAGTTAACAATTTGTATAAAGCCAATAACTATAAACATTCATCTAAGCATTTTATGCTTTGGTCAGTCTATTGCACGAAACATGTATCGTTGCAATTGGTAGTGTTTCTAGGTACGAGAATGGAGCCTGGCCGAGGATCTCACAGACCATCAATGAGGAGTTAGGGAGCATATGGTGTCAGTGTTACAGTAAACAAGAAATATGCATGGAGAATTGGTCACTCTAGGTGACATAGTGTGCCACAGATATGACAGGAAGAGGTAAAGATTCATTCAAGTGATCATGGGGTAGAGCAGAGTTAAGGCCTCTCACCACAGAAACAGAGGTTGAGAAGGATGGAGAGCTCCCACAGGAGTTCGACTCTTTGGTGTAATTGACTGTTACAAGTCTGTATGGAAATCCAAGGGGTAAAAAATCTACTTCCTACATTGCTACCCTCCACTAACATTTAGGAAAAACAATGCAGCAGCAGCAGCAGGGAAAATAACCAGAGAAGAGCATGAATGACCACCCAGGGACCTATAGTGACAGACCTTTTAAAAGCCGCTTAGTCCAATCTGCTTGTAGTGTACAGCTAGACCCACAGCCGATTTATTTAGCCAGACCCTACTGAACCTTCCATTTTACAATTGTTCTTTCACCAAAGAAATTTATTTCCTTAAATGAGGCACAACCACAGGGTTGGTCAACTCCCAAATAGGAAGACATGGCAATAACAAGGCAAATATTGGCATCTCCACCCTGAAAAAAATGGATAGAAACTTTGAGTACTTGCTTCACCCCCTAGTAGGCATCCAAAGATATGAGAGCCTTCCTTGTCAAAATGAAGCGTCACCTGACAAAGTCACAGCCCGGGGGTACAATAACCTTTCAATTGCTCCATATCCTTCCCGGTTTGGTGCCTTCTTTTAATAATTACTTTCAATTGCTCCATTAACACTAAAAAAACATTTTTTAATGTTACATGTTCATTGTATTTAATTCCAGTAGAATTAGTACTGGTCAATAATGCTGTGAATAATAAACATGTTATTGAAAAATAGTTTAATTACAGAAGTTTTACAAAGGATATGAAGTAGCTACACAATGCAAACACTCACAATAGGTAAAAAGTGTGTGTACAAGTTATGTACAGTGTGTATAGATGGTGATATAAAAATGTACTATTATTTACAAAGGTATCGGAGATCCAGCTCCTTGTATGGTAACCACACTGAGAAGTGAAATACAGTACTGTACAATACAGTACGTGAGAGTGCATCAGACGAGCTAGCTGGTACAAGAATAATTATGCTAATGCCTGACACTAATGATACCTTCCTATCACAGCTAAATCTTATGTCAACTCAAGGAAGAATGATAAATATTAAATTCTCGAATGAGCATATTAAAAAAAAATTAGTATCTACAAGACACATCCCTGACTTGTATTTCTGTGACACTTGAAGCACCACAAAACACTTTAACATAAATAGTAACAAACAAAAGCATTAAGATTTTATTCTACAAAATTCCTATTATTTCTAAGGAATCTCAAGTTTGTATAGTTTTCCTTATCCAGTCAGAAAATAAGGCAATATTAGTATATACTCCAGGCAGATGACGGCGAGCACATCCAATACCCCAGCTGACTAGACCAATGAGATGACGACGGCCATTGCTCATGAGGGTCAACGGACTACCCGAGTCCCCCTGCATATCAAAGAAAATGGGTTATACACAGTGCAGAGAACAATGAGGGGGAAGCCATTAAAATAAACTATAGATACAAAATGTTAACTTAAATAAATACCAAATTTCTAGTCATATTAAAAAAATGATTCATGAAGAAATGGGTTAGAAAACTCAGCAGGGAGTACTGTACATTTCGTTCTAGCAAACGAGCTGCCAAGACAAATCTATGGAACATCTGGTATATATTGTGCAATCAGCAGTCGGTTACAATTCTAAATGTTTTTAATTAATTCAGCTTAAGCAATATACTAATGTATGTGCAGCACCCAATAAACTAGAATATATTATTTCTACGGCATCTACTTGCAAACCTTGCAAGAACAACCTTGTTGTCATTCTCGGACCCAGTTTTGATATACGTAAGTAAATTACAGTTTAATGTATATCAAGAATAATTTGCTTAGTTAAATAAATTTTAGAGGTCCAATCTTTGTGTCTATAACCTTCTCCAGTACTGCCCACATAAATGAAAAACAAACCATTTGACTGATCTTTCAAATTAAATTGCAGAAAACTCCACTTACTTATCTTACTTATCTAAGTTCCCTTATTAGGAACTACTGCATTTTCCTTTACAGCATTGGAAAACCATCTATATCACTATTCATTTGTAGTTTATTTCTTTGACATGGTAAATTTACTTTGTTGACATTACTTTTGAAGGACCTTTTACTCACCTTGATAAATATAGATCTTTAATTTCATTTTTATAAATCTGCATACCTCATTTGAGTGTAAATGCTTAATATGATTAAGTTAACTCCCTTATGACATACCATGACCATCTTCATTACCTCAAGTATATCTAGAGTGAGACAGCACACTCCTGATGTTCAATATATTAATATCAAACCAGTCGAACATAAAATGAACTCATACCCATATACTCCTACCATCATAGAAACATTATGTTATAGTTTTAGTATACATTATCACCAACGAGGAGCAATAAACTCAATTTACAATGAAATCTTCAAGAAACTTCTAAGTTAGTACTGTTCGGGCATATGTGGAAGCTGAAGGTAAAACTAGAACAAGGTAGTTATGTTTGAGACAAAATTCAAAGAAAAAATAAATAGTCAAGTAAAGAATTTTCAAAATTTAATATTAATAGTATTACAATTAAATAGTAAGATATCTATTTCAGTTTCCCGAACCCATTATGTGCCTCTAATCTTCTCCACTGCCACCCAAATGATAGTTCTTTTAGTACGTTCTTCATGCCTAAATTAAAACTATTTAAAATCTTAATTTAGACTTCTCAGTCTCTACTGAGAGACAATATGATATGTAATCCAATACAGTACTGTATTATGAATTAAACATTTGCAACTACTTTACACAGACATAATACTGTCCTGCATTTGAGTAAGCGTCCATGATCAATGCTCCTCGTCTCTATAGCCATCATTCACACTCATAACAATATGCATGAAGTAACAAAATAAGTTAAGCATTTAGATTCAAACACAATTGCAAGCATGTTTGAAAATTAATAACATGCACGATAACATACATGTTAAAACACCCATGTCTAAGAACAGACATATGTCTGAGGTCAGTCGTGCGATTCTTAATAATGGATCTTCTCTCGTATCCAGTCGATGTACATAGTCACATTAGTATACACTCCTGGCAGGTTTGTACGTCCGCAGGCGATGCCCCAAGAGACTAGTCCAGCCAAACTGGCTTTTCCATTTCTGCTGACTGTCAGTGGCCCTCCAGAGTCACCCTGTAATGTGATTGGTCGAAGAGGAAAGAAATGAGGAGTTTACAGCCAGTGTCCCCAAAATCAAGTTTGGCTGTAGGTGTTTAGGAAGCTATTAGAAGTGCTGTAGGTAATTAATAGCTAATGTGTTTACAATACAAGATAAAGTTTAACCAAAGATTTTTAACAAAGGAAGGGTTCAAAACTAAGTTCACGATAGATTACCACAAGTAATTATCAAAAGGTAAGGTAATTATCAAAAGAAGGCACCAAACCGGGAAGGCTATGTAGCACCATCAAATACGCAAAATAATCAGAGGGCGCTAAATATCACCAAGGACGCCAGTACGAGAACAAAAACGCATAAGGCGAACGATATCAAAAGTATCCGAGTCACCAAGAATTCTATCGAGGGACAGGTGACCGCGAGGGGCGGTCGGAAAGCAAGACACACGCTCGTCCTGGAAGTCAGGACATTCAAGAAGGACATGCACGGCCGTAAGAGGGGCAATGCAATTAGGACAATAAGGAGCAGGGCGGCGCTCCATCAAGTGACCATGGGTTAAGCGTGTATGGCCAATACGCAACCTCGCCAGAGCTGTTTCCCATCGCCGGTTACGGTGGTAGGAGGACGGCCACGAGGAAACAACAATTAAGAGTACGTAGTTTGTTGCCAGTAACAGACGACCAAGAAGCCTGCCAACGGGTAAGGACGGAGGAATGGATAACCGGGTAAAAGTCGGAATATGGAATATCTTTACGAGATGGGACAAGAGCGGATAGCTTCCTTGACGGCAGCATCCGCACGCTCATTTAAAGACACCAATATGACTGGAAACCCAACAAAACTCAACCGACTTAAATTTACTGTGAACAAGAAACAGCCAATGCTGGATCTCGACAACTACTGGATGAACCGGATTAAAGGACCCGAGAACCATGAGGGCACTACGAGAGTCAGCAACAACTACAAAAGAAGACTGACAACGAGAAAGCAGGAGACGAAGAGCATAGAGAATAGCATAAAGTTCCGCTGTAAAGATGCTTGTCTCCGGAGGCAAGCGACACATATAAGTGCGATCAGGAAAAACAACAGAGTAGCCAACACCGTTCGCAGACTTAGACCCATCGGTGAAAACAGAAACGGGGCGGGAGTGAGATGAAAAGTGCTCAAGGAAAAGGCGTTTTAGAACCGTAGGAGGGGTAAAAGCTTTAGTGATGCGGGTGAAGGATGTACAAAACTGCGGAAGAGGGACTCTCCACGGGGGCAAAGAAGGAACAACACGAGGAGAAACATTAGAAACACGAACGGAAAGAGAATCCTGTAAGTGAGATAACCGGACAGAAAGAGGGAGGTGGTGAAGAGGAACAGGAACCGCAGGAGGGTTAAAGGTTAAAGCACGACAGAGGCGAGAGGAAGGATGTTTTAAGGACCGCGCAAGATAGCGAAGACAGTAGCGATTACGGCGGTCCTGGAGAGACAGGAAGCCAGTGTCAACATACAAGCTAAGGACGGGAGTCGAACGAAAGGCACCAGAACTGAGGCGCAACCCAGTATGGTGCAAAGCATCAAGACGGCGAAGAGTAGAAGGAGAAGCCGACGAGTAAGCAGGGCAACCATAATCGAGCTTAGACAGGACGAGAGAGGATTGTAAAGCAAGGAGAGTGCGCCTATCCGCTCCCCAAGAAGTATGGGACAACACCCGAAGGAGGGTAAGGGTCTTAGAGCACTCAACACGGAGGTAAGAGATATGGGGAGACCAAGACAAACGAGTGTCAAGGAATAACCCCAAAAGCTTCGCGGAATCTTTGTACTCAAGGGGATGACCATAAAGTGACAAAGAGGGACGAAGAACGACCCGTTTCCTAGTAAAAGTCATGGCACAAGTCTTAGAAGTAGAGAACTTGAAGCCATGACCTGTGGCCCAAGACGACACGGCATCAATCGCAAGTTGTAGATTAGCACAAGACCTTTTATAAAGTACTGAAGCTGTTTGTGTATCAAATTAAGTGAAGTGAAGAAACGATATCAAGCTCAAAATGTTTAAAAACCTAAAATTTACTTATAAATTGAACAGAGCAAAGAATTCAATTCCACTGAATGTTCTTAAGGTCACTGAATTGTACAGCTCCAGTTTGATAGCTAAAGAAAGATGATAACCAGGATTTTTGCTTTATATCTCTTGAGGTTGTGAGAAAAAAATAGGAAGACGTTGCAAAGAGGACGAAGCAGAAATATAGGATTAGAAAAATCAGTTTAATGAGCTCTCTAGATTATCGACAGAACAGAAGCCGTGAACAATATGCCGGAACAATTCGCGTCAATTTTGGGTAAAGCTCAGCCCAAAAGCTAAATAATAGACTAGGAAGTGTAGAGATTTTTTGGAAGATATATTCATTGTATAGACAGTTAAGAAGATATTTTCATGATGTTCAACTAATTATATATACTGTATAAGCATTTAAATAAACAAATCTGACAAATATAGATCACATACCAAATTATTTAATTAAAAGGCACATTAATATAACTGAATTAAAATTTGGGAAAATGAATAAGCAATCAGAATGAAGTGTCAAGATGATGTGCCAAACTAAAACAATTCAGTTCACGTGCAATATTGAAGGGAATTACAGGTATACAAGAATGACAGATTATACAAGATTATTTCAGCTGGGAAAGCTGTGAAAGAAGTGCAGATCATATGCTTATGATAAGTAACTGTGCAACAGATGTCTGAAGAGGTCAATGTGAATACAGTGAATATAATATATACAGAAAGTCAAAGTTAAAAAATTAGTCAATATTAAATTTAAAAAGGGAATTTTTAATTATCTGAATGTTTTATATGAACAATTACTAGTAATGATGGATGATAATTTTTTGATCAATCAGCGAGCCTAATTATTCAAACAATGATTTTTAATTGTCTCATTGATTGTCTGACTCATGATGATTAATATGGCATCTTTAGTTTGTCCATGACATTCAGTGAATGAAGGCGATATTAAGCCAATCGGCAAGTAACAACATTTAGGCACTCGCTGATTGGTTGAATGAAACCACAGGGTATTCAAAATGATTCTCTAAATTAAAAATTCCTTTTCCTACCATATTGTCTTTATGGTCTCAAACAAGCCAAAGCTGTTTGTTTTCTTGGCTGCGAGAAGCATCAGTAAATATATACAGTTGTTAGGTCAAGTAAAGATTAAGTCTTTGGACAATAACAAGAATTACTCTAACTACGAAGAGGCACTGATGCTCTTCCATCTCTGTTTATAAGGATTTATCGTCATATTACTGTAACAATGGTACAGGTTTTATTTTTTTAATTTTATAAAAGCAACACACACGCTGCTACTTGGTTTGTTGAAACTTTCCTGTTTTTTTTTATTCGAGAATTCTCCCATAATGAATTAAATTCATAAAGAACAACAGCACAAATACACGAATTGCAGTTCAACCAACTTTTGTATTCCAAGATGAGTGTTTTCAATGGATCATTTGTAAAACCTTTACAGACGACTGGGCATACACATGCATCCACAATCTTACCTGTGCCTTTGATTACAATTGCAAGACTCTGATGAGCCAATTATACTAATTTACATTAGTTTTCAAACTGATTTGTTTAAACAAACTAATATGTATATATATATATAATAAGATCCCATTCCATTTTATTTAGTTGGACATTCTATTCTCAACCTATGCCACCATTTTCAACTACGTTTTTCACCTTACTGTTCATAAGCAGTATAAATACACCAGATTTAATTACCTACTCACCTGCAATATACATAACACAACTACGCTACAAATTCCCTTCTTCATTGTCATATTACACCACCCACCGTACCTTTTAGACATATGCCTGCCTTTTTTAAAACCAACTCTCCACTGGCTACTTATATCCCACCTTCATTCAAACTACCCGCTATACCTTCCACCTATAACTTCCACCTATGGTACCACATAGGTACCACATAGGTACCACATACCCTGTCAATTTTACTACCATGCTACACATATTTTACATATTTTGCTATCTTCACAATGATGAAGATAGCAAAGACCCACATCAACCATTTGTTCCAGCCAGTTCCCTCATCTGACCTCCATAACCAACCACCATCCTACAATAACCACTTCATTCTTCAACGCTCATTCCACTAACATCCTCATCAACCAATATATCGATCCACGCCCACCAAAGACTTCACAATGGTTACTCTCCCGCGTCCACCTGCACCAGTCCAACATACCTGACAGCTGTCCTTGCCACCGTCTTTGTAGCCAGCACAGAGGAACACGTCGTAGATGGTCTCCCTCCTGCCGGCAGCTTTGAACCACGACTGACACACATCGTTCCTCAGGACCTCCACGTCCACCTCCTGCAGCACCTCTGGCGTCGACGACACACCTGGGGACGAACACCATATTAGGAGGAGTTGGAAGGTATATAGGAAATAATATGATAATTTAGCAGTATATCCAAGCTGGAAAATATCAACAGGGTATATGGTAGGGAAGGGGGACCTTGGACAAGCCGCCGGCTTCCAGTCCTCATCGAGGTCACTAGTATTAGTGACCCTCTGGTAAATTCAGGTAAATACATACAGGTTTTTTGGAACTTTCAACCAAGTTACGATCTATGATAGAAGTCTGTTTCAGATTACAGAAGGAGTATTTATGATTTCGTTAAACTTTATCAATTAGTGCTTGACATATCTAAATTAAATCGTTTCTTCAATAACTTTCAAAAGGCCTTTGGTAATAATGATCACAAATAACTTCTCCCAAGACAACAAAATTATACAAAAATTATCTGTAACATATGTCAACTCCTCATATCTAAATTTTTTACATCACAAACTTCAGTTTTCTCCAGTACTAACTTACAAACCTCAATGACATTACTTTTAAACAATTATTGTTGTATAGTAAACAAAAAACAATGTGAATTAAAGACCAAGTAAGTTTTTAAAAATACAATACAGTGATAGCAATTTTGAAGAAAAAACTTTTCATACATAGTTATAAACCGAAATAAACAGTTATACTGTATGAGAAACAAGACAATTACCCCAAGTCCACTACTTCTCTTATATAATACATTACTTGTATCTCTTATATGGGAAGTGTTCCTTGGCTGCTTCTATATTGTGAGCACCACAAACGCATCATTTCCCAGCTAATCAAACACACACACACACACACAAAAGAACGTCTTGTTATATCAGTACAGCACAATCACTCACCATGAGAGAGACGCCCCCATCCTGTGACCGTACCATACTCCCCAATGTAAGAGGAACCTTGCGTCGGTAGACACACAGGAATGATATGCTCCTTGTAGACGATCTTCCGGGTGACTTTCACCAACGCTACGTCGTTCTGGAAATCGGCCGCCTGGTACTGCGGATGTACTTCCTTTTTGGCGACATCGAAGTCCTCGTGAGGCAACTTCTCGCTCTGTTGCCTCACATTCCATTCCCCCAGACGAACCTTCATGTTACTGATCGGCGTCCTGTGGATAGTAATAGTAGTTAATTGTTTTTAAAAAGGAGAGTAAGTAGTATTTTTTCAAGAAAACATCGTGTAGGGAAGGAGGAAGTCTAAGATGTATGTCTAAAAAGCTGGAAAAAGGGTTATAATGAATACAATTGGTGGAAAGTTAATTGTCAGAACAAACTTCTCTACCAATTAGATTATACAGCTTGGGTGGGATATGGAGACAGAGGGGAGACGGTGCCCAAAAGCTTGCATCAGTGGGAATCGAACGGCAACCCTGCTAGAAGCCAGTTTAATGGATGAGAAATTTAATTTAAAAGGGGTAACTGTATACATTCAATAGGAGAAAGTAGAGAGAGAGAGCAACAGAGAGAGAGAGAGCAACAGAGAGAGAGAGAGAGAGAGAGAGAGAGAGAGAGAGAGCAACAGAGAGAGAGGGAGAGAGAGAGAGAGAGAGAGAGCAACAGAGAGAGCAACAGAGAGAGAGAGAGAGAGAGAGAGAGAGAGAGAGAGAGAGAGCAACAGAGAGAGCAACAGAGAGAGAGAGAGAGAGAGAGAGAGAGAGAGAGAGAGAGAGAGAGAGAGAGAGAGCAACAGAGAGAGAGAGAGAGAGAGAGAGAGAGAGAGAGCAACAGAGAGAGAGAGAGAGAGAGAGAGAGAGAGCAACAGAGAGAGAGAGCAACAGAGAGAGAGAGAGAGAGAGAGAGAGAGAGAGAGAGAGAGAGAGAGAGAGAGAGAGAGAGAGAGAGAGAGAGAGAGCAAAAGAGAGTGAGAGAGAGAGAGAGAGAGAGAGAGAGAGAGAGCGAGAGAGAGAGAGAGAGAGAGAGAGAGAGAGTGAGAGAGAGAGCAACAGAGAGTGAGAGAGAGAGAGAGAGAGAGCAACAGAGAGAGAGAGAGAGAGAGAGAGAGAGAGAGAGAGAGAGAGAGAGAGAGAGAGAGAGAGAGCAACAGAGAGAGAGAGAGAGAGAGAGAGAGAGAGAGAGAGCAACAGAGAGAGAGAGAGCAACAGAGAGAGAGAGAGCAACAGAGAGAGAGAGCAACAGAGAGAGAGAGAGAGAGAGAGAGAGAGAGAAAAAGAGAGAGAGAGAGAGAGAGAGAGAGAGAGAGAGAGAGAGCGAGCAACAGAGAGAGAGAGAGCAACAGAGAGAGAGAGCAACAGAGAGAGAGAGAGAGAGAGAGAGAGAGAGAGAGAGAGAGAGAGAGAGAGAGAGCGAGCAACAGAGAGAGAGAGAGAGAGAGAGAGCAACAGAAAGAGAGAGCAACAGAGAGAGAGCAACAGAGAGAGAGCAACAGAGAGAGCAACAGAGAGAGAGAGAGCAACAGAGAGAGAGAGAGAGCAACAGAGAGAGAGAGAGAGAGAGAGCAACAGAGAGAGAGAGCAACAGAGAGAGAGCAACAGAGAGAGAGCAACAGAGAGAGAGAGAGAGAGCAACAGAGAGAGAGAGAGAGCAACAGAGAGAGAGAGAGAGAGAGAGCAACAGAGAGAGAGCAACAGAGAGAGAGAGCAACAGAGAGAGAGAGCAACAGAGAGAGAGAGCAAGAGAGCGCGCGCGCACGCGAGCATGTAGTGGTGTGTAAGAGTTTGCGAGAGTTAAGTGAATGACCAAGTGTTTTTTAAAAATGAGGATGCAAGGGGTCACGACAGTCAATCTGATACAAGTTGCTCAACACTAACTATAATGAATCGTTAGAAGATGAATTGCAATATTGCAAACCAAACAAATCATTCTTGCATATGACATGACCTCTAAAGGTCATTTGCAAGCATTTATAAATTTAATAGGAATACAACTAGTATTTTTCTTCGCAAAGGACAATCATGACAAGTCATTTATCACAAATATTAAAAGTTACGCACTTGTTGGTATGGCAAGAAGTGAGGCCTCGTCCTCCGACTCAGCTGTTGGCATTTCCGTGTCACTTAACTCATAAATGTTAACTTATAATCATAAATTTAACTCGCAATTGTTAAATTTAACTTCATAATTGTTAATAGCAAGCTGTTGCATAATAACAAAAATATTGCTGCTCCCTTTTCTTATTAAAGTTGTATGAAGTGAAAACGAAACCGTTTAACGAAATAACTAATGGGCATTTTTAGCCGCCTAAAGCTAACCTGGAAGATACTGGAGGGCCAAGTACCAAATCTACACAGTAAAATAACAACGTACTGGAGTGAACGACATGGAAGAAAATGTAGAATAGAACCAATGAAGAGCAGAAGTGCCATAGGCACAATCAGAGAACACTGTATAAACATCAGAGGTCCGCGGTTGTTCAACGTCCTCCCAGCAAGCATAAGAAATATTGCCGGAACAACCGTGGACATTTTCAAGAGGAAACTAGATTTATTCCTCCAAGGAGTGCCGGACCAACCGGGCTGTGGTGGGTATGTGGGCCTGCGGGCCGCTCCAAGCAACAGCCTGGTGGACCAAACTCTCACAAGTCGAGCCTGGCCTCGGGCCGGGCTTGGGGAATAGAAGAACTCCCAGAACCCCATCAACCAGGTATCAACCAGGTAAAGCGTCCTTCACTCAATGGTTGTGTGGCTGACATGACAATTTCCCAAACTCCCGAGATTCCGACACTTAGTAAAATAGTTTTAAAATTCTCACTGCACGTAAATAATATTAATAAACAACCCACATTACTAGAAAAATTATATCCAAAATATTCAACAATTAAAAGGGGAGTAATCTAACCCTCTTCCTAAAAAGAAAAATAATTTTGGCAACATTAGCAGAGTAGTGATGCATCACCCATCGGGGAATGGGTGGAGCAAGTTTCCTGTAGTTATGCTTATTCATTGAAGTGAGTGTACACCAGGAAAACCCCTTAACCGAAAGAGAAAATGGCTTATAAAACGGCATCTGGGCTGTATATATTGACAGACATGACATATGAAATGTATTTTTTTAAATATAAAGTAATTAGAAATGCAGTCTCAAGTTTCTATCGAGAATCCTGGATGAAAAATTAAGACATCTCTCATGTTATACACGAGATTGCAATAGCAATTATTCGACAATTTTGGCATACAACTTCTCACTGAATATCAGTCACGATAAATTTAGTTACGCATCGTGACAGCTTTTAACCAACTACGGCACAGTCACTGGCCGGAACAAGCACATGGCTCCAAGTCAGCCCGACTCCTGAGGCGGTGTAGTGTCATTCGTCACAGAACGAGGCGTCATGCGTGTCCTTTCAAGCCTCACGGTAAGTTGGCATTCAGCACTGGCAAGTTTCATACAGGAGGGGGGGGAGGGTTATAGGGGTAGAACCAGGGGAGGGTTATAGGGGAAGAACAGGGGAAGGGGGAAGGAGGCGCAGGGAAAAAGATAGGGGAGGGGGAAATCGGGAGAGGGTGAAATGAAAAGTAGGAATATGAATTGATGGAATGGATATTTTATTTTACGAAAGTGGACTATCTGTAGTTATATTTTAATGAAGGTAGAGGGTCAATAGCCATAAGGGAAATAATATATAGCATGAATGCTGAAAATTCTCAGCCTCGCAAAGTAAAGGACAAATCCTCAGACTTTCAAAGGAAAAGGACAACAAAAACGAGCGTTAAATAAGACTGACGGCTAATAATTTAAGACTAAATATTTTTAGACGAGAGAAAACTGGTACTTACGCTTCAGAGAGGAGGGAGGACATTATAAGGTGAAAACGCTAAGCCATTACCCCTATATAGCACTTTGAAGGGGTCAGGATAAGGATTTGGGATGAAACGAGAGGAAGGAATGGTGCCCAACCACTTGGACGGTCGGGGATTGAACACCGGCCTGCATGAAGCTAAACCGTCACTCTACCGTCCAGCAGATACCACAGATATAGCCCATAACCTGCCTGAAACGCTGTGCGTTCTAATGGCTTTAGAAGAATGTAAACACATTATGCTATGTACTCAAACCCAATGTACCTTCTTGTATATAAATAAAACGTTACGATACTCACGAGTAGACGCAGTGAGCGGCCGTGATGACCCAGAACTCGTTGAGCAGAGCTCCTCCACACGCTATACGCTTGCTGAGGAAGGACTCCTTGATGATGGCCACCTGCCACGGGTGGGTCCCGAAGGCCGCGTCGCTGCCTCCCACGATCCTGTTGGTACGCGTGTACGTCTCCCCGCACCCTGCAACCACAGGCTTGGATTAGAAGGTGTAAGTAGGTAGATAGGTAGGTAGATAGGTAGGGTGTGGCGAGTGTACTCACAAAATATTGCTAGACTAATAGATACGTTTGTAAATACATACCTGCGATATACACACTACAGAATTGGGCATCTGTGGGGCCACTCAGGCACAAACGACGCTGAAAACTAAATTTTTTAATGATGCTAATTCCAGGAAAAAGTTACTTACCCCATCAAATATTTCATAGCATTACTTTGTTAGTAAATTTGTTATCTACAGTGATGTATAGATATATAGATATATACTATACACATATATATTATATAGATAAATGTAATACATTGGAAGTAAAATGAGAGACGAGTAGCTGGAAGGTAAACATTGAGGAGGGGGGGGGGGGGGGGGAGGGGGAACGCCTGTAAAACACGTACCAACAAACAACTTTAAGATGAAACAAATACAATAAGCAAAAGTGAAAGTAATAAACAACCCGTCCGGTCCACCAAGAAAATGAAAGTAAACCACAATTCTCTCCCCCGATATGCCATCTCCTCCTCGCCACCTCCCTCTTCCTGTACCTCCTCCCCAGGTACCCTCGCCTCTCTCCCCACTCCCTATCATCTTCCAGTTCCACTTAGCCTCTTCATCTCCCCACCTCCTCTCTATATCAAAGACGAATCAAGCATCCCACCACGGGGAGACATCTCCCGTCCACGAGGCTAACCATAGCCCGTGCTTCTTACCCGCTCCTGTGCCAGGTAAGTTACGTGCTCACCATAGCCCGTGCTACTTGGAACTTGTTCCGAGTAGCTTAATCTATACCATCCCACCAATTACGGGCTATTCATGCCCGTGCCATCACTTGGGTGGCTTAATCTTCATCAATCATCCCACTACAGAAAACAGCCAAGTTATCCAAGTGAGGTAGGAGCAAGGACTTCTCCCCTGGGAACACCAGGGGGATGGTGACCATGTACGTCTCGCTGCTCGCCTAGCAAGCACTGGCACTAATCAAGGACGTCTCCGGTGACGGATCCGGACACAACGCCCACAGTCTGAAAGTATTTCTCATAAATAGCACAATGAGGCTGTTATTATGCCCCTTTGTCTTCTTGAATTGTAATTACTGGACCTCCGTTACAACGGTCCTTCATGCTGAATATTAAGCGTGCGTGCGTGCGTGTGCGTGTGCGTGTGCGTGTGCGTGTGTGTGTGTGTGTGTGTGTGTGTGTGTGTGTGTGTGTGTACGTGCGTACACTTGAGGTTATCTTGAGATGATTTCGGGGCTTTTAGTGTCCCCGCGGCCCGGTCCTCGATCAGGCCTCCACCCCCAGGAAGCAGCCCGTGACAGCTGACTAACACCCAGGTACCTATTTTACTGCTAGGTAACAGGGGCATAGGGTGAAAGAAACTGTCCATTGTTTCTCGCCGGTGCCTGGGATCGAACCCAGGACCAAAGGATCACAAGTCCCGCGTGCTGTCCGCTCGGCCGACCGACTCACTCTGAACACTTTCAACGTTCGTGAGCATTGTGCCTACTTAATTGTTGCTCTTTTCACGGAGACTGTACCGGTTTACTTCATATTTAAGTTAGATATTACAATTCCCAGTAGTATACAGATCCTGGCGGTTGGCAGAGCTTATCTTGCAACACTACTGTTAAAATACTGTCATTCGACAACAATTTAATTAATAACAAACGCTGCTTCTTCACCAGAGATGAAAGTTCTCAGGACAACACACTAAGGTAGAGTGACTGTATTACACCTGGAAGTAATGTGACACGAAGATGTGAGGACGGAGTGAACGAACAGTGTTCAACCATTGCAACCCTCATTGATCGAACTCGACCCTGCAAGAAGCGAGACCGTCGCTCTACCATCAACACCCAAATACCAATCATTATATCTTCCCTTTCACTCTACAAACAACATTGATAATAGTGCATAACATTGCTTTACTTCCGCTATGCTTTGGACAAGAAAGATAACAAATAAGGATTAACAGTGATGAACTTCCGTTGAAAACTAACAGAAAGAACCTCATCGCCATGACCTTCACTGCAGCAGTTCTTGTACAGAGTAATATCCGTGGGTAATATCTTCCCAAATTTGCGACACACACACACAAGGTGAACCGTCGAGGATGTGGTGGATGTCGGCCGTGGAGGCGACTAGTGATGCAAGAACCCAAATAAAGAAGGATTGTGAAATTTTTGAAAACATTACACGATTTGTCTATAGAAATGACCAAAATAGTGCAAACATCCTGCACAAAATAGAGTAACTCCTGCTGTCATGAATCAAATGTTTCATCTCTGGAATATATCAACTAAAACAATTATATTCTCTTGCAGATTTCAAGACCACAAAATTAGCACTTATAATTTCCCTGAGTTTAGTGTTAGTTGCATAATGGTTAACCTTAGGTATTTCCCGCGGCTTCGCGTCACATAATCCGACTTCACCACTTTCTCCACCCCAGGAGGAAGGGGGGGTGGAGGGGTGGGGGGTTGGAGGAGGTCGAGGTGAAGTGATAGTGACAATTAGAAGAAAGGAAGAATATGGAAGAGGATAAACCATGCGAAGGAGAACAGGGACTGGACGTGGTAATGTGAGCAGTGGACAAGAGGGGACCAAACAGCCAGACGAGTCCCCAGACCGCACAGTTGGACCTGACCACTCTAAGGTCTCCTGTATTAGTACAGCACAACATCTCCGGCACGGAAAATTGAGGACACTGGATGACTAATATAATCAATGGAATACAAAACACGAATAAACGGCAAGAGAAATATATGAAATATGTTTGTCTTGTTTGTATATGCAGTATCGGATAAAAGTATTGTGCATGAAAAACACAAAATCTTGAATATCAGTAAAGTAAATAGTTCAGTAATATAAAACGAGGTGACTTCAGCACACACTAAAGATCTGTTTAATAAAACAAATTAGTGTCAGTAAAATAAACATTACAAATATGCAGAATGACTATTTAAAATAAATTTTAAATGGTCTCTTAGCGTTCCGCTTCAGGTGATGTCACCCAACACCTTTCATTAGGAGGAGTCTATTTAAGCACTTCCTTGCCAGTGACTACTGGGTAGAGAGTTCTAGCATTTTCTGCAATGCCTACTTGCCTTGTTGTACTTGTAGCGTTACAACTGAGCTCTGACTTTCGAATTCAGTGCATACCATCTTGGACCATCGCTAGTATGGAGGTTCTGCTGAAGGTTTATCAGAGATATTTGACTGTACATATCTTTCTTACAGAGAGCCGGGGTGGACCAGTGGAACCAGTGGCCTTTTAGCAAGCTCCCCTGACTTAAGTGTGTCAGCATAGGCCGAAGATCCAGAGGCAGCCTGTGAAGGGGCAGTTGGGTCAAAAGGAGAGAGCAATTTTGTAGCCTTTCGAAAGACGTAGTTCTGATTGTAGACTTGTCCCCCCTAGAGGCAGTCGACTCAAACCATGGTGGGAGTGCCAGCACTGTCCAACATTTTAATTGTCGCCTTCTTATTACGGTCCTGAAACATGAACTGTGGAATTACCTTTTCCGCTTTAGGTCTCTACTCAAACTTGGTAAATGTGAGGAGACTTTTAATGTGCATAAGAATGCAATGTGTTGATAGGTACAGATTAAGGAAATATTCTCGTAAAGCATGAAGCTTGGATACACTGCCGCTGCTCCAGTAAGTGCTAAGAGTAGGAGTGTGGGGAAGTACCTCACACTACCGAAGAATAGATGATTGGCCCGACCCATGAGAGGCAGAATGGCAAGCCTCGATTGAGGTCTAACACTTATTACTGTCTTCAGTCTGGAAGAGAATATTATTTCTGCCCCTCACAGGAGCTTCCCCGCTCCCATGTACTCTCATTATCTTCTCGGACTCTCAGCGGTCACCGTCTCGAGAGGACGTGGCATACTTGTCAATGCAGTGATTGGCTACAGGACACACCAAACACCTGTTAACCTTTCGTTTCGTTTTTTTACGACAAAACGCTCGTTGTGGTCATGCGCCTGAAAATGCTAGAATTTCCTTGGATTAAGAAGACGTTCATCAATTGACATTTTGGCTTTGACAGGTCGATATAAAAAATATATCTTTGGCTTCATCCGAGAGTAAAGTTCATATCTGTCCCTCCGCCCCCATCCCCCCTCCTCCTCGTTCGTGTCCCACCCAAGTTTACTATTGTATGTCCTGCCAATTACAGAGTCTTCTGTGATGTTTATGTTTTCCGTTTCATCTCTTTCAGTGGCGTGAGCATTAGTTCTTAGGTCAAATGACCTTACCTAATCCATATTACAATTTTACCATAATTGGATTCCAAACAGGTACTGTATTCTATAATTAATCCGACATACGAGTTATACAGCATCCTGAAAAACTTTCAGATTTCCGAAGACAGTCCTTTGTGTACCAACTATAAATACATAAGTGGATTTTATACGTTGATATATGCTTCAGAAGATGTTTGATGTGATGACTTCAGAGTTTTCTGTGTTCTTCTGTGCTGCTCCAGGTTGGTTTCTCCTCATATTTGGTACTGTGTACAAGTATATGAATGGAATGCATATATGAATGCATGTTTCTTGGAGTGCATTATATTTTCTCGTGCACGTGTGGTTGAGCGTCAACGTACGCGCAACAATGCGTGCGTGTGCGTGCGTGTGTGTGTGTGTCACCATGCACAAGCAAGGAGGTCAAGGCGAGACGTGAAGTAAGGGGGATGATAATTGTTGAGAGACAAGGGAGGAAGAGTCACTCAGCATCACCATGAATATTTAAAACTGTGAAGGTTACACCTCACGATGATTTTAAAGATGCGTATATGCATGTCCTAAATTACTAGGTTATTATTCAAATGTTTTAAAATGGCCTCATCTAGCTTACGTAAGTTCATTCACTATATTCATGGCCCTTCAACCACACCAATTAATTCCCGGCCCTCTCGCCAGACCCTATTTCCCGACTCACAGTCACAACTATGACCTTTCTTT